AAATTAGCCATCACATGCCCCCTCCCCATGATGTTGTGGAAGCTAATAGAAGAGAGTAATTCAAGAACAAAGAGTCACCTGCTGCGAATGTCGCTAAGAACATAAGTAAGATGGAGACTGAGCTATGACTGTTTTGGCAATTTTAGTGAAATAGCGAAACAAAAAACCAGACTTGAGGACACTGAAGAAGTAGAGAATGAGTGAAGGTGGCTGTTTTGAAAGAGATTGCTATAAAGGGAAGCAAAGAAGTGGCACCATAGCTAGTGGGAGATGTGGGATTGAGGAAGTGTTTTAAAGGCAAACAAACAAAGACAATGGGATATATTAATAATTTCAAAGCATGTTCATGATTAATGGGAATGATCTAGTGGAGACGAGTGAGAGGAGATGAGACCCAGGGTGCACGTGAAGGGAATTGCTCTTTAATAGGATTAGAATCTTACCTTTCATTGCAACAGGAAGAAAGGCAGAGAAGATTGAACAATTGCAGCTGGGTTTGTAGATTTGACGTCGAGGCATGAGTAGCTTCTGCTCCAATGCTTCTATTTTTCCAAAGAAGTATGAAGCAAGAATGGAAGGAAAGTGGGTCCAGAAGAGAGAAGACATGAAGTACCATCTTGGCAATTGGAAAGTCAAGTTAGTAAATACTAAAGAAGTATAGCAGTACTGCTGTGCATGAGAGAGGGACCATTCAAGGTTTATGGTCATAAATTTAATGGGAAATCAGTCAACCTATTCCATGTTTTTCATGATAACGAAAAAACGGAGCAACCACTTTCATTTGCTTCATTCCCAGCATAGAGAAGGCACATAGCTGGATTCATCCAAGGTTGCACTTTTGCAAAATTGAGGCAATGATTGGAGACTAGACAAAGGAAATTAAAGTATTAACAAGAGAATGAAAGATCACACATGAAGGCTGGTTAAGAAGGGAATTAAAGCAGGGAGGGAAGAGGTAAAGAAAAAAAAGGGAATTAAAAACAGGAACACACAGGGGATTATGATAGGTTAGAAAAGGGATTTTATTCTTTCAGTTTACTCAGTCACTCAACAATGGACTCAACAATTGTGTGCCAAACCCTGTTCTAGGCCCTGTGGGTATACTCATGAACAAGACTGACCAAGTCAGTTCACAGTAAGTGTAATTTTAAGTCAGATATTTCTAAGGTCTGTGGAGAAACGTAGAAATGGGTAGGGGGATAGAGGGCAACAAGTGGGAGGGGACAGCGGTGGTGATTAGAGAGGGCACCCAGGGAAGGGAATCACTCTGGTAAAATTGAGCAAAGACCTGAATGAAATGAGGGAGCGATCCTGGGAAGAGCTGTGGGAGTAGTGTGCTAGGCTGCGGGGACAGTGAGTGCTTTTTTTTATTTTTTAATGTCATTAGTAGTTGAACAGTAAGGCCAAAAAAGTCATGATAAACAAAGTATTTTTTCCTTCCCTATTGTATTTTTAAGTGGTATTTTCATGACACCATGACACAGCTGGTTTAATCAAGTAGCTTTTGCACAAAAGTCATTAGAGTGAGCAATTGGTTCAGTCAGAAGCCTCATTTAAGTAGACCAAACGTTTAAAATAAATATAAATATACCATATATGATATATTCATGTCCATCTTGTTTGGCACTCTATTCTCCAGTGCCCAGCATTGGAATGGCACCCTTTTCAATTAGGAATAGTTAGGAATAGGAATAGTTAGGAATTCAGTTAATATTTATTAAGTGAATTTTTATGCCTACATACAGTTTAACACTTAGAAACACAAAATATCCCCCTTCAAACTTTTTCAAAGAAGTTCTAAGGGAAGAGTTTGAACACAAACCCAAGGTCTCTTCCCTTTACCATGAGAGGGTGGGGACTTGCTTTAAATGGCTTTGTAAAAAATTTAGATATAACTCACATACCATATAATTCACCGGTTTAACGTGTACAGTTCATTGGTTTGAAGTACGTTCACAAAGTTGTGCAGCCATCACCATTACCTAATTCTAGAACACGTTTATCACTGTAGAAAGAAACCTCACGCAGACCAGGCCCATTAGCAGTCACTCCACATTCCTCCCTTCTCCCAGCCCCTGGCAACCACTAATCTACTTTCTGTCACTAAGTATTTGCTCATTCTGGATATTTCATATAAGTAGAATCACAAAGTATATATGTTCTTTTGCGTCTAACTTCTTCCACTTAGCATGTTTTCAGGGTTCATCCATATTGTAGCGGTTACCAGTACTTCATTACTTTTTATAGCTGAATAATACTCCATTGTGTGGCTATATCATATTCTGTTTATCCATTCATCATTTAATGAACGTTTGGATTGTTTCCACTTTTAGGCTATTATGAGTAATTCTACTCTGAGCATTTGTGTACAAGTTTTTGTGTAGTTGTAAATTTCCAATTCTCTCAGATACTTATCTACAAATGTAAATGGCTTTTGAAAAGTATAATTTGTAAAACATTTTATCTTCATCTTTCACAGTTCATCTTGTATGTTTTAAAATAATACATTGAGTTACTACCAGTTATTTACTTAAGCTACTAGTTGAATTATTTTACCTTTCTCAAGAAATCTAAGTAATATTGGCCTTGCAGGAAGATGTCACCTGTGTCTTGTGGGTCTGGGACCTCCAGCTCACTGCTTGCTACATAGGAGGGGCCACTGTTTCAGTACCATTCTGGTGGGGTATTAGGATTGCAAATCTGAACAGATAGTAGTTTGTGTTTTTGTCAATAAATATTGCTTCTTCCTTGAGCCAGATCTCTTGACTCCCAGTTCAGTTCTCTGACTGCTGAACTTTGCTTTTATTGTCTGAATTTAAAGTCATAAAACAAAAAATAATCATAATTCATATAGATAACATTTTCAGATAAAAGTTTAGAAAAAATGGTTTCAGAACCTTAGAAGGAAAAGCTGTCAGCCTCGTGTTCATTAACTCACAGGGACAGAGAGGGAAAATAGGAGTAATAAATACCATCACTTCTATTTTATGCATGAGAAAGAAAGAATTATAAATATTTGTAAACTCTCAGTCATAAACAAAGGTCAGCCATTCCTATTCATTTCCCTTAATAGTCAGCCTTGTTTCTTCTCATCATATTCTAGCATTTATATACTAGTAATTTTAAAAAGGGGTACAAGCACTAAACATAATTATATTATCCAAGTGTAGCCAAATTATGCAATCGATCATGCAGTTAATCACTTGGCTCTTCTAAATGTCATGCTGGATATAGTTTATCCCTCTCACAGTGAGTCAGAAGCAGGCATGGGCTCATTCACTATTTCCAGTAAGTGGCTTACCACCAGCAGGTGCTGTGACTGGTGGGAAAGGGTAAGACCAGAATGCATACTTATTTGGGCATCTCAGAAATGTACCTTTGGTCCTTACCTATGGCTGTACGTGAGGCCATTGGCAGCTTAGAGTGTTGGCAGCACCTGCAGCTACCTCCCAGCTTAGAAGAGGCTCCCAATTCCCTACATGTCAGGGAATGTTTGTTCCTAGCACAAACCCAAGAACAGGTGCTGTCCTGTGGTTTGGGCATGAGTCTCAGCTCTGCCACTGTCTATGTGATCTTGGGCATATCACCTCAGGATCCAAGTCTGTCATCTGTAAAATTAAAGATGTAGACCAGTTGACCTTTAAAAAACTTGGCTCTAAAATGCTATGACTCCTCTGCTTAGTGGTTTAAGATGTCAAGTGGATGAGATGTAGTGTATAAAGGTAATGAGAGCTCAGGCCTTAAAAGTCATACAGAACTACCTTTGAGTCCTATGTGACACTGGGCAAGTTTCCTTAACTTCTGGAAGCCTTCGTTGTGTTATCTTTAAAAGGGTGATGATGAATGATGATAGTTCCTAGTTCATAGGGTTCTTGGGAGTAAAAATGGCATTGTGAATGCAGAATCTTTAGCACAGCGCCTGATACATTATAAGATGTAATATTTATTAGTAGTAAGTAATATTGTTATTTAGGGACATTTTATCCTAATACATGAAGTAAATGAGTATAATTCCAGCAAATTTAATAACATTGTGAAGTATACAGACTAAATTTTTTTAAGATTATAATAATTAGCTATAAAGGAAACAAAAAAAATCTATGATTTAGATTACTGAATGGTAGGCACAGTACGGGAAGAAATGGGATGCAGAGAATTATTGAGCAAGTAAAAGAAATCTGACTTTCTCCTTAGCTTTGTTTTGTCTGTAATCTTCCTTTTATGTATTATTTTCCTATTTCAATTTGGAGATAGACTCATCTATGGAAAATTTATCTAAGTTAATGGCTGTTCAGAAGTGAGGCCCTACATTACTGAAAAAACAAACAAGATTATTATCGTTTCTGTTTATCATGTAGGAATAAATAGTAAATCTCTATAACTCCATCCAAGCTGCCTCCTTGTAATTTCTGCCATTATTTTTGCAAATTCTGTCTTGATGTCAACCAAAGACTTAGAAGTTTAATAATTTCAGAAACAGATACTCATATATTTTTCCTCAGTTATGGTATCGGTATGAAACTATCACTATTCAATAGTGGTTTCCTAAATTATCTGAAGGAATTTAAGATAAAGTTGTGTAAAGAGTCAGAACCCATCTGTGAAATATTGTGAGGGAAATTGGCAACTTGAAGTTTGTTGGTTGATATCTTGGAGAATTAACCATTCATTTCTCAAAAGAAGAGGTGAGTTGTCTATAGTGGATATGTGTGTGATGAAGTGACAGTGCAGATAAGATTTCTGGTGCTCATCTCTGAACGTGTATGTCCTGTGTGCCCCACAGCTCCTCCATCACTGTCTCTTCTTACTTTACTGTTGTGTGTGACCTATAAGAGAGGAAAAGTTTGACTCCTCATTGCAGTCTCACCGGCTTCTGATGTGATCAGCTCAATCCAGAAATGCCTTGTCTCCCTTAAAAATTGCTTTTCACTACCTTGTAATTATTTCTGGTAAGGGTAAATGTTCTTTAATCTCTAATTTTTTTTATACTTCTTTTATAGGAGGCCAGTTGTAAGAACTCCCTACCCATCATTTTAACAAAGGGCTTAGAAAGAGACATGCCAAAACCATCTCCAAAAACCAAGGTAAACTATATCTGCTCTTCAGGCTACCTTGTGAAACCTTTAGCATGGCTCTTCATGCTTTTGTTTTCCAGGCTCTGTTGTTTGCATTTCCTTCATCCTTTCTTGTTTTGGGTTTTTTTGTTTTGTTTTCATTGTTGTTCTTGTGTGTTTTTTTTTTTTTTAGAGGCAGAAACCTGGTGGTATAAAAAATGCTTTTGGTATAGAACATTTAATTCAAAGTTATATTCAGCCAAAAATTCTTAGGACACTGCTATTATTTAACAGACATTGATATTGTTTAGCATATGGTTTTACCTCTGCTTAATCAGAATTTTTCCAGCCTCCAACTCAGGAAATAATGAAGTGTAGATCTTCCCAACATACTCGTGAGCATAATAGAAATGCATGAGATGCTTTTTCCCTCTTGTGGGTAAAATAAAATGTCCAGCTATAATTTTTCTTTATCAAAATCGAAATCACTTTATTGATTTTTCATAGTTATAAAAGTAACACATGGTGAATAGAAAGTATTTAAGTAGATTTTAATAAGAAAATATAAGAACTATCATGGCTATGACAGAATAAAGGGTCTAATATGTAAAATTGTGTTTCCTTTATTAACAAAACTCCAAAATGCACATAATTGTTTTTGCCAGTAAAAAGAAAAACTCCTTTAACCCCAAATATGTCATGAGATTTTGGTCATAAGTCCACTCAGAGAAGTGATTATATTAGTTTTATAGCCCCTTACTTTCCTAATCTTTAGTCTTCTCTTTTGAATAGAACTTCTATTTACTAGGTGTATCTAATACTTCTAACTGGCCACTATGGCATTTATAGAGCTACTTTTTTTTCCAGTTCTAAGACAAAATGTTTTCCAAACTTTCTTGAGTCCATGATAGGCAAAATTTAAAAGAATTCTATTCTTTGATATTGATTGCAAGTTACTATAAAAATAATTGTGGCTTTATTTTCAAAGGCAATGTAAGCAAAGTATCGAGCCATTACTGTTACATTTATGTCAAGAGTGTACAGTTTATTTTTTAAAAACTAAAAATATCTTTCCTTATAAAACTTATTCTACCTTGATTTTTTTAGAAAAGTAGTTCAGCTATCTATCATGGTTTCCTTTACAGATTTTAACTGTTTTTTTATATTTTTCACTGAAATATTTGTGTGTGCAATAATTAATTCAAATGTATAGTAGAAATTTTGTTGACTGTGCATTTAATAAAAATTCAGTGTCAAAAATATACTCATAAAACAAATGCACTGAAAAAATCTTATAGGATTTAAGGAACATTTTTAGGTAACATTTGCTTATTAACTTGAAGTAGTTATATTGATATAACTACTTTGAGGTGATGAGACCCTATGAATCACTTCCTAAATGAAAGATACTCTTGAAACTGGTCATAAAAGTTGTTTGAAGGGAGTCTATTACTTTCATGAAATTAATCCCATTTGGAATATTTAGGTCAGTCACATACAGAATCAATAATTAATGTGCACTTACTGTCCTCCCCCCCTCTGTCCCCCTGTATGGTTTATGACCCAACTGATTTAATGGACAAATTATTTTAATTGGTTAAATCTTGGTTTGTGACTTTAGCTTCTTTGTGACCTTACATGAGCAAGTTTAAGTTTACATGAGTGAAGTAAGCTATCCTTAGTTCGGGGTGATTATAATCTTTGTAATTTCAAATCCCAGAAATGAAGCAGAGCATGTGAGCTAGAAGAGATTATTTAGGCACTATCTCTGCCACCAAGGTTTTATCTTAAAATCTTTTTTCTGGCAGTTGATATTTGAAAGCTAAAGCGGAGAACACCTTAAAAACATGGTTGGTGTGTTCTTTCTAGAGTGACTTAGTGAGCAATGAGGATGATGTGTGTCCATGGTATTAATGTTACTCCATTTGGCCCTCATTGCTGTCTTTCTCAGACATCTTTAGTTACAGCTGTATTTGCCTTGGGCAGCTAAGTATTTCTGATCCCTATATAGGCTAGAGATGTAAAATGCTAATCCAGAAATGGCCTATGTCCATTGGCTCTGGAGATGTCTCTCTAGTATAAGCCATCTGTCCCTGTGTGTTCCCTTTGCCAGCTGTTTTCTCTGCTCTTGGGTAATGGGAAGGGTTATATTTCTCTTCCTTAGGTAGGAAAGCCACTTTTTGATTTGAGTCCAAGATGGGAAAAAAAAAAATGATACCTCCATTTCATAATGCCATGACACTTCTGGATGAGTAATGATTCCCAGCCCTGCTAGCTCAAGGACATACTCACCTAACTGTTTCATACGCAATACTGTGTAGACTATATATGCCAAAAAATAATTGGAATAGATGACACAGAAGATAACATCAAATAGATTTTTAGATAAAGAGGTACAGAATATACAAAGACACACAGCTTCTTGTAACCTAGTGCAGTCATGACTACAAGAGGAAACAAAGTCTTTTTCTACTGAACACAGATGCCGTGGCTCTAAAAGCCCTCACAACCTGTATTCATTCCTCACTGTATAAACCCTAAAAAGCATTCAGTGAACTGAGAGAAGAAAATGATCTTCTTTCTCTCTTCCTTTAGGGTATACTCTAGACTTCCTGCTATAGTTGTTATATTCTTGACCTCAGCAAAAAACTCAAGGTCAGGTCATTGTATGAGGATGAATATAGATTCAGTCAGTGCTAGGATAAGGTATAAAATAAGCAATGATCTGCTAATATTTCCTTCCTGACTTTTATCAGTGGATAAAAAATGTACTGATAAAAGTTAAAATTATAAGCACATAATAGCTTTGGTTAGTCTTTGGATTTTCCTAATGCTTTTATAGATGTTTCCTTCTTAAGCAGAGTCAATATTAACTATAAAATGTGTGATAAAGTTAATGCAGTTGGTCAAGTAAACAGTTATAGAGTAGAAGCAACTGTTAAATTATTCTTCTTTTCAAAGGTTAATGATTTCAGGGACCATGAATCATTTAAGGAGATTTTCTTCAATAATGAGATGAGATGTCACAGTTATATTTTCTCAGATGTTTTTAAAAATGCCTTCACTTACTAGAAACGTAAACCAGACACTTACAATAATACAAGGTTATGAGAAAATTTAGTGACAATGTAATATAATTTTCAAAATACAAATTAATAGAAAAAGTAACTTAAGCATTGAAGTTTCAAGTTCCCAAGTTATTTTTAAATCATTGCTAATGGATATGCATGTATTTTATGTTGCTTTTGTTAATGTGCACACTTTAATTAGTGTTCTACTTTTTCTAGTTAACATTATTTCCACCATGTGATTCTATTCATCAACCTAGTTTGCATGCTTATTCCTTTAGTAAGACTAATAATACACAAATATTGTGTATCAATAAATTAAAAAATTTTTAAAACGTAATAGTAATGGAAATAATAGTGATGATGATAACTAACATTGATCAAGTGTCAAGCACTGTACTAACTAATGTATATTACCCCATCTAATATTCATAATATTTTCATGTATTGTCATATATTTAGCCATTTCGAATATTTGGGACTGTTTCTAATTTATCATTAATATAAAAAGCACAATCATAAAGTTCATAAAGAATAACTTTTGAATGTGGAAGAGTATTTTTTTAGATTTTATTACCTGTAGCAGAATTAAAGGATACAAGTAGCTTTATGACTAATGTACTCTAGCGTACAATCTCTCCTCCCCTTTTAACACTATTTTAAAATTAATATTTATCATTTCCATGCATATTATAGGCTAACTGCATATCTATATATTTATACACAATTATAGTTTTTCAGGTTTTAAAACTTTATATAAAAATACTATGCAGAGCACCTCCTTCTGTAGCTTCCTTTTTAAATTTTCTTTTCAATACGTTCTATCAGTATTCACTTTCAGCCATTGTTATAGTTTTCTCCCCAGTACTTAGGTTGTCTCTAATACTTAGGTTGCTTCCAATATTTTGCTATTACAAACTATCTTTAAGTGAATAATTTTCATTTGACTCATTTTTATGCACATGGATCATAAGCATGTACATCTTTAATTTGTCCAGATATTATAAGTGCCTCTTAGGATGTTGTACCAGTTTGCATGCTAACAGTTCTGTATGATTGTTTCCATTTTTCACATCTTCACCAGCCCCTAATAGCAGAGATTTTGTTGTTTTTTTCTCCATCTAATGGGTGTAAGATGCATCTTGTTACTGCCTTAATTTTAACTGCTCTAATCTCTAATTGTGTCAGAGACATTTGTTAGTAACTGAATATCCATTTTTCCCAGCCCCTTGCAGTTAGGTGGGGCCCGCCAACTACTTCTGGCCAATAGGCTATGAGCAGAAGTGACAAGTGTCACTTCAGGAGCAGAGAATTCAAAAGTTTTTGCATGACTCTCCAGCCATTTCTTTCTGTACAGCAACTAGACAGTGGAGCATGGATCTTTTAGCGACCTTGTGTTGCCCCCGTCAACTTACGTTGGATCTGTGTCATGACCAAGAAATAGACTTCTGTTTTGTTAAGCTACTGAGATTTTTGGGTTAATTTGTAACTTCATCATAATGTAGTCTATCCTGATTAATACAAGTGGGCAGCTTTTCATGTTTATGTTTTCATATGTTTATTAACCTTTGGTCATATCTTGATTATTAATCTGTATACTGCTTTTTCCTGCTGTTGACAGTTTTACTGTTGGATTATTTGCCTTTTTCTTAATGATTTGTAGGAGTTTATTAGCTGTGTTCACTTGTATGTGTTTCAAATACCTTCTTTCAATTTTTTGGTTTTCTTTATAATACCCAAAGTAGCATTATCTTTTCCTCTGCCTTCCAAATCTTGTGGGAATTCCTCTCACTGGAAGAAATTAACCTACTGGCAGGAGATTCTGGGAGATGCAGTTTCCAGGCTTTATGCCCCACAGTACAAAACTATTTTATAAAATCATATGAAAGACCGGGCAGGGCGACTCACACTTGTAATGCTAGCACTGTGGGAAGCTGAGGCGGGAGGATCACTTGAGGTCAG